TCCTGCAATAAATCTGTGAGGACTCTTTTTTGGATCCCTTAGCCCTCTATTCTTGCATGATTTTCAATGAACTAATGTATCTTTTATCCTTTTCTTTTTCCTTTCCTCCCCCCCCCCCTCATTGTATCATCTTCTGTCCTCCTGTGATAGTGCAGAGGAAATAAAATCACGTCTGTGGCTCATGACAGCATTCCCTATTCAGTTGTTGGGTTGTGTTGTTGTGGTGTGTGTTTTTAATAATCCCATGTAACTGTTTTAAAAAAAATTTCCTTTTTGATCAAGTCCCAAATCTGCCAGCCTGTTCTCTCTTCTTAACTGTGGAAAAATGAGACGGTTGCTTGAACATGTTGGGTAAGTAAAGCGATCCATTTCCTCTGTGACCATGTATAAAGAGTTTGGCGAACATTTGGGGTCTGTTTATAGCAGGGGGTCTTGGCTATAGCAGTGGAGGGCTTTTCATTAGCAGGAACCAAACAGGGGCTTTTAAATAGTGTCTTGATTTTAGGTGACTGTTTGAATGCACTGTTTTTCCTGAGAACCTCAGCTAGGATGGAAGATTATACTTCCTGTTAACCCTCAGACAGGGGAGACATGTGCAGTTCATTGTGACTTGCCTGGAGACCTTTAATTGGGTTTGTTTGGATATTAGATAGAAGTCTGGGTAGGTGATCTGCTTGTGAAATATAAGAAAGTGCTTGTTCTTAAGAGTCACAGAGCCTTAAGCAAGTAGTGGGGCAGGAGCTGGTGGTGGTGTGTGGGTGTGGGTGTGGGTGTGTGTGTGGTGTGTGTGGGGTTAGTGGTGTCAGTACTCAGGTTTTAAGATACTAACACTGAGTACAAAATCCCACCCACCAGCAAACTTGATTTGATTAAGGACTCACTGCAAAACAGATTTGGCCTCTTCCAAGTCTGACCCACACACATCTGTATGCATGCTTACCTTTACTTATGAATTATTTCTTACTTTTTTCATTTCCCCTGATCTCTTAATGCTGCAGTTAGAACTTCAGAGTGAAAAAAAGTGGACTCTTGTTTGGCGTTAGCTTCAGAATTTCCCTAGAAGTTCAGTGCATCAATTTCCAGCCTGGAGACCAATCCCGCATAGCTGTAAATGCTGGAAATATATTCAATTGCTGTGTTATGCCAACCTGATGGAGTTCATAATCTTTTTTCCTTTTAAATTAGTGTCCAGCTTTTAGCACCCATGGGAAAAAAAAGGCTCATTTAATGGTGAGAAATGTACCAAATTCTAAGTTAAGAAAAGTCTGTGGAAGGCCAGCTTCTTAGAGTAAAATGTCAAGAGTTAATGATGTTTTATATACTTAAAGCTGAACAGTTGTCCTGCCCCACACAAGTCAGTTCAGACATTTAGCTGTTTTCTTTGTTCTTGTCTCCTGACTGTAAATGGAAATTATATACTGAGGTTCGTGTGGCCTCCCTAGAAGCAATATCTAATCACAAGACTCCTGCTTTGGTGCCTTCAGTGTTTGCATAATGGCGTATTTGTTGGGCTGGAAGGAAACCTAAGGGCAAGGTATTTGTCCTCTAAAAGCTCACATTGAAAATGGCTCACACAGGTTTGCGAAGCCAAGATCTGTTTTCGAACGTGCAGCCAGCCCCAGCAAGTTCCCAGTCTGGACCAAGCTAGTCACTTTTCCTGGGTACTGTGGCCCCCACTGAGCATGAGTCTGTAACAAGTCAGTTGCTTTCAAAGTAGCATTATTTTCCAGTTTCAGCTAGGGGGTAAACATGTGTGCATTGCAGCAGGACTCGGTAGGCACAGCAGTGCTGGCTCCCAGAGCAGCCCAATGGGGCTCCTCTCTCCAGCTTTTGGACCAATAGACTGGGAGGAAAGGTTACAGATTGACAATTGCAGTGGCCGAATTGAGACTGGGCCTTCTGGAAATTTCTGCCATCTTTGTTCCTTTTAGGAAAAACAGATCCACCAAGCGGAAGAGTCTCCTGCATTCCATTCCTAAGGCATTTCTCCCCCCCCCCTCCCCTTCCTTTTTTTACATCAAGGTAGAATGTTCTCTCTGCCACGTTTGAAAATTGCAGAGGGAGGGACAGAACATGGGGCTGTTTTCCTGCTGCCTCCTCAGTCCCTAAAGAGGATGCACAGCTGCAAGGAACAAACACAGACACACTGGACCTTTTGATTCCTCTCTCCCCCTCCCTTTTCTTCCCCTTCAAGACCCTCCAGGATGGATTCACTTTCTGCTTTGGGAAATTAAGAGGCATTCACGTGGGGGAGGGGGAGCAACTGCTTTTATTAGCTCCAGAAAATGGTCAGTGTTCCCTGTGTAACTAGGAATTAATTATATATAATCACTCAGTAAACTTTCTACATAGTTTTTCTAATTGCCGGGCATGAACATGGTTAGCCTGTTGGAGCCCCATCCAGTTACTTTTGTAATTACTAGCTCAAAGATTTGAGTCAGAAAGAAGGAAACAATGGGGCATCTTGGATTATAAATTAAGGATGAAAACAATAGCCCCCCCCCCCCCTCCTTCTTTCTTTCTTTTTCTTTCTTTCTTGTAACCCCTTTTCTTTCCCTGGGAGGACAGTGGCGAACCGCTTCAGGTCTTAAATAGGAGAGGAGGAAAGGACTCAATCTGTAAAAAGCCAGGGTGACAGTAACCCAGAAAACCCTGAAGGCAGAGGTAGGTTTTTTGAGTCCAACCACTTCAAATGTGTGATCTCTTTGTTTCTTTTGCCTTTTCCCTTCTCTCTCTTGTAGCAGAGGCAACAAACATTTGTCAGCTGAGAAGCCCTAGATCTGGCTTTGCCTCTGGTTGACCCTGAAAAGAAAGACACTCAAAAAGTGCCTTTGCCACCGCACAGCAGAGATTTAGTAAGGGAGTATGTCGAGAAGCCCTGGTGTTGCTCTGAAATGCAAAAACGAGGATTCACCCCTGGCTTTTCAGGTTGCCTAGGCTATGGCTGCCCTTCCCCCTCCCCAATCTCCTTCCAGATAAACAAGCTGGCGGGAGCCATTTCAGCCCTGCAGCTAGCCAGGCTGCTAGGCTGTCCCTCCTCATCAAGATTACCCACCTATCGGCCGGCCGGCCGGCGAGGAGCCAGCCGCCCGTCCCAGCCCTGGCACAGCCTTGGGCACCATGCCCTCCTGTCTCCCCTGGAGCGAAAAAGCAGTCACCTTGAAACTCTCCCCTCCCAGCACCACAGCGCTGAGGCCAGTGCTCAGACCTGTAACCGTAGATTACATTATCCACTCTGAGGCTAAACCAGCGGTTAATTTTTAGGGCTCTGTTGGGGGTGGACCCAAATCTAATCTGTGCATTGGCTGAGCGAATATTTTACTGTTGTGTCCCTGCAGACTCCCAATTGTCTTTCCTTGATGCTGTCTTAGGACCGGCTGGGCATTTGGTGGCCGTGTTCAAGCTCATAACACAGCCTTTTGATTTTACCTCGGCCTCGGACTGGGGTGCTGCCCTTTCGCTGGGCTTTTCAGGTGCCCGCTGTCCCGGAAGCCCTTTCATTTTACCTAGCTCCTTTTGGGTATGGATGCAAAGCTGGCTTTTAATATACCAACAAGGGGAAATGGACTTCCTTCCTTCCCCTCGCCAGCCTGCTGCTCCCTTGTAACGTGTGTGTGCGTGTTTTGCACCGACACCTGTCTGTCCGCAGCTTCTGCCACACGCCTGCCTGTTTCCTAATCTTCAACCGCCTAATTCGAGGGCAGAGGGGGCCTCTTCTCAGAGCCTCATGGTGCAGGCTCAGGATCCGAAAGGGAAGGGTTTTCCTTAGGAACCTGTGACTTCACAAACTCCCCCCTGTCATTGCAGGGTTTTTTTTTTTTTAAGCTTCTACACGTTGGGTTGTTGGTGCCCTCTGGTTGAGCGCTGCCTGGTCCTGATCTTCAGGGGGGTGGCTTGAAAAGTAGCAGGGCTGCCTAACCACGAGCTGCAGCTATTGAACAAACTGCTACCATTTTAGCTTCAGCCCAGGAATGAGGGAGGCAGTGTTGCCAGACGCCATTTTAAGAATCCTGCATAAATAGCTTAGCTACCGATGACTCTGCCCGTTTTAGGTGAGTGCTTATATAAAGCTGCTCTGCTAACCGCCCCCCCCCTCCATTAAAACAAAATGAATTGCAGATTTAGGGGAGCATGGTTTTTAAAATTTGATGTTGGTTATTTTGTGATCTAGAAGAGGAAGGTGTTGTGTCTTGGGGATTAACTGTTTCTTACAGCCTGGACCAGTTTGGGATTCTGAATGAAAGTGAAAAAGCTGAAGGAAAAGTCCTTTGGAATGATGCATGATTCTTTGAATTGCTGCGGGGTGATCCTCAGCTATAGAGCCAGAGTCTCGTGCATGCTGGTTGTATATTCTAGATGGGTTTAGATATTCTTGGTTAAAAGTCAAGTAGTAGGGACACTTGGGGGAAAGAAAGGTCTGGGCATTGTGTATCCAGGCATTTTTCTGTTAAAACTATATGTATATGTATTTTTCTCTCTCTCCCTTTTGGAAGTGCTCAGGGGATGGGATTCCTGGGAATTACGGACCAGCCTTGAGTCCTCAGAATTAATAATCAGAAGGCTTACAGCATCCTGGAGGTGCAGCAGTTCATCTGCAACTTTTAATTGCTCTTTTTTAAAAGTGCATGCAGGTTAAGAGGGAAGCATAGGTTTTCTTGCTCAGGCATTGGGAAAGAAATCTTTTATTCTTTCTGGGACTGGCTGGCATGCCCTTGGTTATATTTGCAGGCACTGTTATTTCTTGAATTGTCTGAAATGTATCAGTTTGTAAAATCCAGAGGCAGGTGACTTGGGTAAATGTGAGTGGAAGAAGTGGTGGTGGTAACATTTGTGTACAACTAGTTGATGGTGAATTTTCCTGTGGGGGGAGAGACGGTAGTTTGATTTTCAGCTAATACTACCTTTTCCTCATGTGGGGTATCCTCAGCCTTCCCTGCAGGTTTTGAAAGAAAAGAAAAAAAAAGTAATGTCAGTTTGAAATAAGTGCTTGTTGTCCCCTTGTTTTTTGACCTAGGTAATCCCGGGTTGCTGGAAGCTAACAGATAGGGAAGAAAAGATGCTGGATATTTCCTAAGACTTTAATGTGTGAATAACAAGAGTTGAAAGCCCTTTCTGCAGATGCATCCACCTCTTCTTTTTAACAATTATGGTTATTTGACTGTGTGTGTGTGTGTGTGTGTGTGTGTTTAATCCAAATGACTGAACAGTTCTTAACCTAAATTGACCAAGATCTGTGGGGCATTCAGACAGGTACAAACCTTTTCTCACCACCACTTTTGGTGTAGTATAAATAGGTTTTCCCCTAATAACATGCTAATATTTAAAACGAAGCCAAAAGAAAAAAAAAAAAAGACAACAACACAGCAAACCTGAGTTCAGTGGTGTAGAAAAAGGAAGTCCCTTTAGATGTGGCTATGCAAAATGACTAATTTTGCATTCTGGTCTTTGCTTTTGTAAATGATTCCTCCCCCCCCCCTCCCCAATGCATAGACACTGCAATTTCCTTTAATCAAACACAAATTATTGTATGCATTGTGTGCACACACATGTGCATGTACGGGTTCCCTTTGGAATGATGGCTTGCTGATCGGTGAAAAAGATGGTTTTCTGAAATTGTTGTGCTCAAAATCCTTGCTAAAGCTGGTGGTGCTATTGCTAAAGTTAGGTGATTATGGTGGCCCACTTGCAATACTTGGAAAGATAAAACAGCTTAACCCCCCCCCCCCCCCACCTTGTCTGCTTCAGAATTGATTATCTTAAACTCAGCAGCAAATAGCCCCTACATCACTAGTTTGCATTTTCGTAGCCTCACAACAGCATTTCTGCTGAAAGTATTCAACTCCTCTAGGCTGTTACAAGCCAAATCATTGTTCTCTTGAACACAGCCCTCCTCCATGATCCATATACCTTTGAATGTCTTCATCCCTGCAGAAATCCTTCCAGTGGGCTTTTGGGGCTCTGTTATGCATAAATTGTTTCTTTCACGACCAGACATTTTGGTTGGACCCCAGATTAGCATTTTTCTCTGTCACTCCAAATATGGGATTGGTTTCAAGAAGTTTAAGATTTCACATACTTCATGCTAGAGGGGGAAACAGTTCTAGTTGGTAGAAAAGATCAAGGTGGCTATTTGTTCCTTTGAAGTGGACCATCTATCCAGCTCTGAAGGCTGCATGGGGCTTTTTGTTAAAATTTATTTCCAATCACCCCAAGCAAGAAACCATCACCAGTATCTATTTGGACAACCGGTGTGTGGGGCAGGCAGGGTGTGTTTCTGAGTTGAGAATGTGTGCCTCTTAAGTTGGAGTAGAAGGTATTAGTGCTAAAATCACCTTCCACCATCACCGTTGTATTATTGCATGTTAGCGATGTGTTTAAATGTAAAAGGCTGCTTTCTTCTGATGAAAACCGTTCGTGACAATCTGTCAGTTGTTTCTGGGGATTTGTGTCACAGCCTTTCTCTACAGGTGCAGTGCAAATGAAATTGTTAACGGGGTTCAATATCAGAGAGCGAAAGGTGTTAATATGCTGATTTAAAACCAAAGTACCTTTCTTCTCAGTGCTGGCACTAGGGAAGTTTGAGGCCTCCAAGTCCTTACAATTATGCTGATTTAAAACCAAAGTACCTTTCTTCTCAGTGCCGGCACTAGGGAAGTTTGAGGCCTCCAAGTTCTTACAATTTAACTCTAAGCTATCATCTCTTCCTTTCTGTGTAGTTCCCATTTCGATGAACTCTCTTCCCCCAATAAACGTGGAACTCCCCTAAGCATACCTCCATGTGACAGGCCTTCTTGGACTCTTTTGTCCCAGACAGTCCCAGACTACTGCGTACAGAACGACACTCTCATCCTACCTCTCCTGCCCGGCCTCCCTTCTGTCCTGGCTTTGAGTCTTCCCAATGGAAAGTTCTAGCCATAGCAATTGGGAACACACCGATTTCTTGTTGAACCACAGTCGGGTGGAATTGCATTAGAGTAATTGTTCAGATTCTTTTGTTGTTGTTGTTAAATCTTCACCTGAGGATATTTTTCCCCATTTGATTTTTAGATAGAGTGGAAGGGTGGGGGGAGGGGAGAGAGAGAGAGAGAGAGAGAGAGGAAAGGGGGGAAAGAGATGGAGAAGGGGGGAGAGAGAGAGAAACATTGATGTGAGAGAGACACATTGATTGGTTGCCTCCCACACACACTCCAGATAGAACCTGCAACCTAGATATGTGCTCTTGACTGGGAACCTGAGACCCTTTGGTGCTGGGACCGAGACTCTAACCACTGAGCAACACTGGCCAGGGCTGTTAAGATTCTTATCATTTCACTGTCAGCCCCAGAATGTTGAAGTTCTTCGTATCTCACCGTTTGCACCTATTTAAGCAGACTTTCACTGGCTTGATTTAGGTGTGTGTGTGTGTGTGTGTGTGTGTGTGTGTGTGTGTGTAAGATACAAAATGGTTTGTACTCTATTTAGCGGGAGTTCCAGAAGAGAAAGGGAGAGAAGATTCTGGTGGACCTTCCCAGTAAAGGGGGCCTGCTTTCCCCGCGTCTCTCCCCAACCCCCATCTCTCAGCCTCTCTTTCAAAGAATCCTTCCTCCTTCCACTTTAGTGGTGGGGAATAATTAGTCACAGCTCAAAAGAGGGCCATTGCTTTCTCTAAGCCATGCCTGCTGCCCAGAGGACACATCCCTGGGGGTGGGGGATGGGAGTGTGGAGACCCCGGTCCTAGTTCCTGGGGTAAATGCTGGCGGCTTGAATGTTTCCAGACAAGGCTTTTTGCTTCTAGCCCGGGCAGATTTTTCTACTTTGCAATTCTGTACATTTTCCCCCTGTTCCTGCCCCTTCTTGAAATTGTAAGATGCAGCAGGGAGGTCTGAGAAATGCTGTTTGCCTTACAGAATTCAGACATCAGAACTCTGCATACCCTGCAAACCCCCTCCTACCTGAATCCGGTGTTAACAGTGAGACACTTGTTTACTCCAAGGCTGGGTGCTCATTGGCCCATGGGGGCAGATTGTAATTGTGTATCTAAAAAAATGCTCTTTGCATCCCCCACCAGCACGATAACTGGAGTAGTAATTTGACTTAAAGGAAGGACAACCCGGTGTCTTAAAAATACTCCTTTAGGAGGCATTACCCTTTGTTTGCAATCAGGTGTGGGTTTCTTCCCCCGCCCCCATCCCTCCATAAGGATGGGGGATTGTCTTAAAGTTGGGTTTCTCGTTAGGACTTCTAAATAGCTAGCTGCCCCCATTGGGCAAGTTCTCAGTCTACCCAAACCTGAACGTAATTTGCTCTGTTTCAGCTTGGCCGAGGAGGAAATCAAAACAGAACAGGAGGTGGTAGAGGGCATGGATATCTCTACTCGCTCCAAAGGTGAGTAAAAATCTCGCATTATCTATTCCAGATCAGAGGAGGAAATTGGAATTTCTCTTTCTTGTTGTGGTGCAGCCAAGTGTGGCTCTATGAGCCGAGGCTGCAACAACGCGCCTCCGATTTTGAGCTGTGAGACCTTAGATGGATGAACCTAATTTATGGAGAAATCTCTTTCTGCTTTTCTTTCCCTTGCGTGTCTGTGCAGGTAGACCGACCTGTCGGGGGTTGTCCATGAGCACACGTTTTCTGTCTTGACTAAGGGTGGCTGGCTGCCTCTCTGCAGGGTGACTTTCAGGAACCAGAATTTAAATAAAGTACGTTCTGGAAGCGAGCCATCTCCAGCTGCTGCGAGGTTCCTTATGTTAATAAACGTGACCCGTTTGGAATCACGGAAGTGGGAGAAAATGCAGGACTTTCTGGAATTTCGGGGGCCGGTATTTGCATTTAGGACAAAATTTAGCAAATTAGAGCAAACACAGTTGACGTTTCCTAATAACAGAAACCTGTATGTTAGACTCCTCCAACTTCTAATTGAGGGATTGGGACTTTTTGTTTGGTGTGTGTGAGATTTCATGAGGCTTCCCCAAAAGGGAAGCAGTTGTTCACTTTTGCCTCCAGGGTGCTTTTGAAAATGAGCGACTGGAGTATTTTTCATATCTTTGGTTGATGAAAATGCTCATCTCTAAACTTAATGGTTGTACCACACTGTTGTTACTCCTTTGACGAGGCGCTGAGTGCCTGCTCTGAGCACTCAGCCTGGTGCTGTGGGGCACCGGGGAGGCCAGAAGGGCTGGGGAGAGGGTTGTTGACAGACTCACCCAGAAAGATTCCCATCTCGCTAGCTAGAGAGCCACACGAAAGTGGCTCCCTAAATGCAGCTGCAATAACAAAGGTTTTTGAGGATTTTTATAAGCTTGTCATTTTGGGCAGAGATAGGGGTCCTAGCGCCATGGCTGGGACCTGGGTCTGGAGGCTGGCTGTCGCTGGGGCTGGCCTGACAGATGGAGGACTGGCATGGTCCAGAGAGGAGGCGGGAGGCACCTCCTGTTGGAAGGCCAGGCTGCCCACGTGGGTGGTCTGTGCCTGGGGGGCGGGGGAAGGGAGAGAATAACTGCGAGAGGTTGGCAGGGTGGGCCCAGTCAGTGGGCGCTTCATCTTTCATCACAGTCCCCATCCAGCCCATGGGGGCCATCAGTGGGGGAGTTTTGAGCAAGGAAAGAACCTTCCTGAAGGGGTGTTGTGAGACAGCGGCTGAGGGAGTGTGGCCCAGCCCCCTTCCCCCCTTGTGGTCAGAGGGTGGAGGGAGAACCCAGAGAAAGGAAGCTGGAGATGGGGGTCTCTTGCTGTTCAGTTTCCTGTGGGGCTTGGACACCTTCTGTCTCTGTGCCTCCGTTTTCTTCTCTGTAAAATGGGGTGTTAGGTTAGATTCTAAAATTCCTCCCACCTTGGCCTTCTCTTGTAGAAAGAATACTCAGAGGGACCCTTTCCCCCTCCCTACGTGGGAGTTCATTCTGTGGGACTCTTCCCTCTCCCCACGTGGGAGTCTATCTATTCTTCAATAAACCTTGCTAAAAAAAAAAAAAAAAAAAAGAAAGAAAGAAAGAAAGAAAGAAAGAGAATACTCAGAGTATTTTGAAGGCTGTGCTTGGACCAGGAGCTTTCTCTTACTGAATTCCTCCAATCCCAATTTGACCGAGGTGTTGTTGCCATTTTGCAGATGAGGAAACTGAGGCCCTAAATGGCAATATCTCCCAGGCAGTAAGTGGCAGACCTGAGCGAGGCTCTGACTCCAAGGAGGTGCTTCCTTCCTGGAGCCCCGCTATGGAGACTTCTCCAAGAGGGTCAAAAGCGGGGATTGTCACTGTCCCGGGTGGGGGGCGGGGAGGCCTGCTTTGGTCAGTACACCCCCTTCCCCTATTGAGAATAGGGTGGAGCACCCTATTCCCTTTCCTGTAAGTGTGGAGACCTCTCTTCTTCCACCTCCCTAGACATCCTAGCTCTTCACCAGGTGGCATCTTCCTCTGACTGCTACATGAAGTGTGACCACTGCGGGGTGACCACTGTCCCTCTTTCTTATCTACCCCACTCCAGCCCTCCTCCTATAACAGCTAGGGCGATCAAAAAAGCATAGGTCAGATCTGTCCCATCTTGCTGAGTCCTTCCACTGACCTCCCAGTGCCCTGAGGCTCCAGTCTGAGGCCACTATGCCCTCCCTCCCCGAGCCGGCTTGTTCACCTTGTGACATTCTGTTTACCTCCTCCCCTTGACTCCACTTGAGCGTCCGGGCCCCTTTCCCCTCTGTTTTCTCCTCCGGGCCCCATGTGTGCTGTGCCCTTTGCTGGGAACATGGTGCCCTGGGTCCTGCTGCCTGTTTCTCATCTCAGATTCATCTCCGACACCATCTCCTTAGAGAGGCCTTTAGTGGCCACGCAGTCCACAGGAGCCGGTTCATCATTTTCTGTTACTTTTAGTAACAAACTTCTAATTTTAGATTTCCAGAGAAGTTGTGAAGATAGTGCAGAGTATTCTCATATCAAACGCCCCCCCCCCCCAGTTTTCCTATTATTAACCTCATGCATTAGTATGTTTCATTTGTCACAAGAAACCCATCGATATTGATGTTATTACCAACTAAAGTCCATGCTTTGTTCAGATTTCCTTAGTTTTTCCATTAAGGTCCTCTTTCTTTCTTTCTTTCTTTCTTTCTTTCTTTCTTTCCTTTCTTTCCTCTTTCCTTTTTCTTTCCTTTCTTTCCTTTCTTTCCTTTCTTTCCTTTCTTTTCTTTCTTTTCTTTCTTTCTTTTCTCTTTTCTTTCTTTTCCCTGTTAGTCCCCCCCAGAGGATATTTTTTCCATTGATTTTGGAAGGGTCAGAGGGAGGAGAGAGGAAGAGAGAGAGAGAGAGAGAGAGAGAGAGAGACAACGATTGGTTGCCTCCTGCATGCGCCCTGGTCTACAACCCAGGTACATACCCTTGACCAAGAATTGAACCCAAGACCTTTCGGTGTGCAGGCTGGTGCTCTAACCACTGAGCAATGCTGGCTAGGGCTAAAGTCCCCTTTCTGTCCCCGGATTCCACCTAGGATACACATTATATTTAGTTACACGTCTTCTTCGACTTGTCTTGGCTCTAACAACTTCTGTTTTTGTTTTTGATGACCTTGAGAGTGTTGAGGAATACTCGTCAGGTATTTTGTACAGTGTCACTCAACTGGGATTTATCTCATGTTTTTTTTCATTATTGGACTGGAGTGGACTGGAATAATGGGGTTTTGGGGAAGAAGACCACAGAATAAAGTGCCATTTCATCACATCATATTAAGGGCGCACATTATAAACGGATTATGTTGACCTTGACCACAGATGCTCAGGTAGCGTTTGTCAGTTTTCTCCCCTTCCACACTGTATGCTTTAGAAGGAAGTCACAATGCCCAGCTCACATGGAGTGGGGAGTTATATTCCTCCTCCTTAAGGCCAGAATATCTACATAAATTACTTGGAATTCTTCTGTATGGGAGATTTGTCTCTTTTTCCCATTTCTTTATTCAATATTATCATGGACTCAATTATTTTCTACTTTGGGTTATACAGTCCTATACTAATTTACTTTGTTGCTCAAATTACTTCAGCTTTGGCCATTGGGAGCATTTCAGTATCCCTTTGACATCATTGGGTGGTTGACTGATTGATTGATTAATTGAACACGTTCTTACTTCCTGCCGCTACAAGATGCTTTAGGCTCATCCTGCGTATTTTCTGTCACGGCCCTAGCATTGGCCATTTGCCCAAGGATCCTGCTTTCGTTTATTGGAGAAAAGCATTGGAAACCAGGATCCGAGTGCTCAGTGTGCTCCTGCTGCTGATGAGTCTTTGCTCCTACGTCCTCTCAGCGGACAGCAAGGAAAAGGGTTCCTAGCCCATCTATATACACATATCTATAGGCATTTCCCCTTTATATCAAATTAAATGGGTTCATACACTTGTCTCCAATTCTGATCCATTACCGCATGGATCACTCCAGCCTTCTCCCCTTACTTATCTGTAGCATTCCACCATCTGCCATTTGTTTACTGTTTCCTGGTACATTTTAAATCTTCGGTGTACAGCTGGATGAACTTCCAATACATGTGCACTCATGGGACCACAACCCAGAGCAAGATAATTGAATATTTGCGGCATTCCAGAAGGTTCCTCAAAATCACTCCTGATTTTTTCTTCATCTCCCTTGTCCATGACCTTGTAATTCTTTTTTTAAAAAAATATATTTTATTGATTTTTTTACAGAGAGGAATAGAGAGTTAGAAACATCAATGAGAGAGAAACATTGATCAGCTGCCTCCTGCACACCCCTACTGGGGATGTGCCTGCAACCAAGGTACATGCCCTTGACCAGAATTGAACCTGGGACCCTTCAGTCCGCAGGTTGATGCTCTATCTACTGAGCCAAACCAGTCAGGGGGTAATTCTTATTTATTTGTTTGTTGGTGGTCTTCTCTGCTAAGATGTAGGCTCCTTTGCTCCTCATGTCCTAGGCCCCCTTGCTCGACCCCTCCCTTCCATTCGAGATGCAGGACGGCATGAAGACATAGAAAATCCTCACTTTTAGAGCCAGGCTCCTTGGGTTCACCTGCTAGCTTGTGCCCTGCCTCGTTAAGTTATTCTTTGTGACCCACTTTCCCCGTATACGTGGGGATGATGAAGATAGAGGGTTTTGGTGAAGATTAAATTTGCTCACACATAGAGAGTGCTCAGAATGGTGCCTGGGACGTGGTGGGCGCTCAGAAATGTTAGCCATGGTTAGAACTGGCATGAATTGGCATGAGTTTGCATTGGTAAGCCTATTAGGTAGAGATCCTATGTACCACATTCTACAACTGCCTCTACTTACAGCCTCCAGGAGGAGGGCTTGGAGGTGAATCCGGAAGCTGTGCCCAGGTAACGAAGAATTGGGTAGGGTGACCTGGCAGGCAGGCTCAGGCCAGCGTCTTAGCCTGTGGGCCTC